CCCCCCCCAAGCTGTGTTCCGAAAGGATGTGGCTCGGGAACACGCTGTCTTTTTTCTTCGCAGGAGGAGCCACAGAATCGTTTGGGTGCTCCCTTCTGTCCATACACTACAGTGACAGCAGCGACCTCAGAGCCATTTGCCACGGCCGGCCTCCAAGCAGCCATGAACGACGGCTAACAACCGACCCAAACAAATCCTTCGCGCTCCGCCCGCCCGCGGTGAATACGCTTATTCCCTTGCCGCCTCCCCCCGGAACCGCGCACCCGCAGGTATGCCGCCTTCTTTTGGAAACCCCACGCCCCGTCGATGCTGCAGCTGCAGTCTCCGTCGTCGGGGGTGGTGACGGAACTCTCGTGTCCCCGGGCGGGGACAGAACGTTCGTGTCCCCGGACGTTACCGCCGCCGAGGGGACAACCCCGCTCCACTGGGCTTGCTGGGGGGCGCACCTGGCCACGTGCCGCCTGCTCTTCGAGCGCGGCGCCGATCACCGGAGCGTGAACGCCTACGGGTGCAACGTGGCGCACTGGTGCGGCCTGTCGGGGGACGTGGATGTCTGCAGGTATGTACTATATAGGGAACGTTTTTTTTTTCCTCATTTGCTGTTCGTTGACCGTGTTTTGGAAGACGTTGGGTTTTTGGGCGTGGAGCTAGGTAGGGAACGCTTTTGTTCATTTTTTGCTGCTGTTTTGGACCTTTTGTTTTGGAAGACGTTGGGGTTTCTATGGCAAAGAGAGTGACTTTTGGTGAGGCGAGGCCGGTACGCTACTGCTGTGGACTTTGTCCATAGCCCACGCCTTCTTTCTTGAACTGCCTTTGTGAATCGACGGGTGTGATGGTTGTCCCGTTGGTCCCTTGCTTTTTGGTTAGCCGCCGGGGTGACGCATGAAACAACTGCTGTAGTCGAATGGGTCCAAGTTCTAAGCAGGGTTTGGCGCTTTTGGCAATTAGGGGTGGTGTACAGAGGAAGACGGGGTTGCAAGAACCCGCTTTGCCTACACCTCAATACACAACCACATCACAACGCCATGCACAGCACAGCACAGCGCAGCACGATGTGTACAGCATGAACGGTGGAGACGGGGGAGCCTAACGCGACGATGACAGGGTTCGGGACGTTGAGAGTCAGTGTGTACGAAGGCTGGCCTTCTTCTTCTTGTTGCTTGCCCGCTTCCCTCAGACTTTCGAGGGTCCTCGGCACAACATGGCGCTCTTTTTCACCGCAGTGCATCGTCACGTCAGACACAGGGCAGCACCGCAACCACAGCGCACCACACCACAGCAGTGGACCGATTTCACGAGGATATAAAGCGTTGCATGTTGGTATCGTCTAGAGAAATGTCGCTAAAACCTTAACCCTAGCCCTAATCCCCAACCCAAAACCCGTAACCCCTACTCGTACTATATATCCTCGGGAAGGCTACTGCTGACCACAGGGCAACACGTTACCACACTTGCGTTTCCGCAGGTGGCTGTCCAGGAGGGTGGAAGAAGGGGGGCCCGGAGGACTGGACTGGGCCAAGACAAACCTCCAGGGCCACACCATCTGTCACAAGGCGGCCCTCAAGGGGCACCGCGACCTGCTGGAGTGGCTCGCGGAGCAAACCACCTCCTCCGCGGCGGGGGGGGGGGGGGGGCCGAGACGCGCGTGGGAGAAGGACGAGGGGGGTTACACTCCAGAGGACGTCGCCAGGCTCGCGGGCCACGTCGACCTTGCGGACTGGATAGCCGGGGCCGGGGTCATGTCGTCCACCGATGAGACTTCGTGACCTCTTTTTGACAGAACAAGCGTTTGTGGCGCAGAAACCTTGCGGACTGGATAACCGATGCCGGAGTCATATCGTCCATCGTGACCCCTTTTTGATAGAAAAAGCGTATGTAGCGCAGAAACCTTGAGGACTGGATGACCGATGCCGGAGTATATCGTCCATCGTGACCTATTTTTAATAAAAAAAGCGTATGTAGCGCACAACCCTCGAAGACTGGATAACCGATGCCGGGGTCACATCTTCCATCGAGGCTTCTTGATCCAATAAGTCCCACGCGTACGTAGGTACCGCAAAAGAGTTGTGGTAGATGTTGGGTGGTGGACCTCTCATTAGTACCATAAGTGAAGTTCTTCAATTAATTGTTTCTTGATCCTGAGTTTCTTGATTCCCAGAATGTTAAGTTTGTCGTGGCGTGCACTGTTGCACGTATCATCAGCATTCGCCAAAGCTCATTTCTTTTTTCATCATCACCTCCCCCTCACCTCCCCGGACCTTTAGCCAACCAAAACTCCACCCAAATAAACCATTTGCTCAAGAATCTCGAGCAAATTACGCACACCCCACCTTCGACGGCTACACCACCTTCGACGACCATTCAAGACTCCCTGCCCCCCTGTGTAGGATACACCTCTCGCCACTTGGAACACCACCCACGCCCCCCCGGGAGTACATCAATTCCCGGGACAGAACACACCAATCGGTGGGGCTTACTTCCTCTCTTCCGTCGACACAAGTGAGAGGGAAATATTGTCGTGTTCTCACACCACGCGTGTGTTGGAGGTCTATGCTTGGGGATGAGGAGAGAGCCAACGAGATCTCTCTCTCTCGGCAACTACTCTCGCCCTTGCGCACCCAAAACTCTCTCACTCCCAAGGAACAATCGTCGTGGGCCTCAGCCACCACGTCACTCGGCATGATTGCCTACCAACGAGAGGAACGAACCGAGCGGGGAGCCCGGCGACAGAATAACCAATCAATCAACTTCCGCTAACCGACAGCAACCACCTGTTTGTTTAGAACATGAAATTAAAAAATATGAAGAAAAATACCTCCAGTGCACAAAATCTAACCACCGCCCCCCCCCCCGTGAAACTCGCAGCCTACTCCTAGCTAAACCAAGAGGCAGGATGCGAAATCGTCATAAGTTGCAGCCCTATTATTTCCCGTACCCATCGGATAAACTAACTGCGGCCGAATATGACAAGACCGCGGATGACAGCGTTTAGTCTCCAACCTCTCCACCCTACTAAGTTGCAACGACAAAAAGTCCTTTCTGAAAGCGTGCGTGCGCCAAAGGCGAACAAACCTGTGTCAGGAACGATCGAAATAATCAAACCAGCTCTTGGAGCCAATTTTGTTTAGGCCGGGCCATTCGATCGAATGTCGTCAGCACGAGTTCGGACTACTACCCAAAATGGCACAAGAATTTGAACTGCCTTCAAAATTATTCCACGAAAAGACCAAGGGAGAAAAACTACACTTTCATTCTGCTGGCCGGCTGGCTGACCTTGGGGCACCGCGGCAGAAACGACACACGAACGAAGGCGCTAGTACCACCCCCTGTCACCACAGTAAATACACCACGGAACCCCTGGCTACACCTCGTCCGTGCACTCCGAAGGGCCATACCAGGCGAGAGTGTTGCAGTGCTTCGCAAGATACTCCTTGAACTCGGCCGTGGTCTGCGCGTGCAAGTTGTCCATGATGAGAATGGACCTCGCCTTGGGGAGCTCACCCCGCCCGCGCATCACGCTTTTCTCGGGGGCACCCAGGGGCACGACGCGTGCGTACAATGCCCACCCTCCCCCTCTTTCCCCGCCGTCCATCCCAAACACGGTGGTGTCTGTTTGCACCGCCACCGCCCCCACTGCGGCGACATGGCCAGATGACGAGCGGGCAAAAAGTGTCCCCGTGCGAGGGTGGTGCTCGTTGCTTGCCGTGAAGGCTATCTTATCCCATCGTCATAGCCACAGGGCAACGGCGCGCCGCCGTGGACTCTCCACCGTACTACATAGTCCCGACCTGGGTGAGCATCTGTAACCCGCCAGTCACAAGCAGCAGCAGCTCCTGGGACAGGCGGAACATGCACGGAAGCCTAGATACAACTTGGGGGGAAAGTTTTCAAGAGTTCTCGTAGTCGATTTTCACGCCCCCCCCCCCCCNACACACAGGGGGGGGGGGTTGGACAGATGCACCACCCCAACGTAGAACGTGGCGTCATCTACCGTAGATTGCATACGTGAGACACCACACCCCCTTGACCGGTTTTCGAAGCTCGACTTCTCTAGAGGGTGCCAGAGCAAATGATATCACGCTCTTGGGAAGGAAGGCTCTCCAACAGACGGCTCCAAACGCCGCCATTTTCGGCACCGTCACACCGTCGCTCTTGTCGTTCCAGAGCAATCGAGCTTTGAAAATCGGCCCAGGGAGGGGTGGTATCCTACGCATGCAACTTGCTAATCCCGCAGGAGGATCGAAAATCGGTCCAGGGCATGTTGCTATTTGCGTATGCAACCTGCGGTAAATCTAATCCCGCAGGAGTATCGAGGTGACCGCGTTGGGGTCGAGCGCCGCTGTCCCCGGCCTGGCGAAGGTGAGCATCATGAGCCCCTCCGTGCGGCTGACGAAGCCGGCCTCGCAGTAGGCGAAGTAGTAGTTGAAGCACCGGACAAAGGCCGAGTCAAAGCCTTGGGCCATAACCTACCGAGCCGTTTATTGTAAAGTCATGAGGCATTTTTTGAACGTTTATTTGTGGTGTTGACTGCACAGGGAGCAAGCAGCTTTGAAACAATTTTCGGACTGCTACGACAGTTCTATGTGGACCACCGCCTTGTTTTGGTGCAGCGAGGCAATTCCGACATTTTCTTGTGTTGTTGGTGCACAGAGAGCAGCGCAGGAACCATTTCCGAAGTGGTACATACGACAAGATATATTTACGTACGACTGCGTCAGAAAAAAAAAAAACACTTTCCGCATGCGAAGCAGTTGATCTGCTTGCATGCCTTAGCAGCGAAAGGGCAGAGCTGGTACGAGCAACACCGCGGGAGGACTAACTCACTCGAAATTTTGATTGTGGAAGAAACAAAAACGCCTTGGGCTGCTGTTGATCGAATTCAGGAGAAGGGGCGCTCGGATTATTGTAGAACGTTGGCGGACAACGAGAGGGTGGAACGACTGGAGTAGTAGTAAATAGCGGTCTTTACTTGCCCCAGGACATCAGACGATACGGTACGACGACGACTGGAATAGTGGTGGGATCATTTTTTTTCTTACTACTGTGTTACAATCAACTCATTCCCCTCCTGTAAGTCTGGGACAGGCTAGCAACGAATAACTTCACAGAGTCAGCGGGAGCTTCTGTACCATTGTTTCTACCCGACTCCCCGAGAAGCATACAGCTATACCCCCCCCTGTGGGTGACAGGCTCCACAAGACCGTTCTTGTTGTTACCTGGTCCAATGAGTGGTTGAAGCGATGCCTCCACTGCTTGAGGGTGTGCGCGTAGTGCACGCACATGTTGTCCAGGCCCTCGAGGGAAAAGGAGCTGCTGCTCGCCATGGCGGACAGCAGGGCCGTCAGGGAAGGACAGCACGACCCTGTTGATGAAGAGAAGAGAGACGGGGCCGTCAGAAAAGAAAGAGAGAGAGGAAACCAGAGAGGGGAAAAGAGGACGAAGGAGGAGAGAGGTCGGGAAAAGAGAAGGAAGAGAGGGTAGCGATCAGAGAAAGGAAAGAGGGAAATATAGAGAGAGGCAAGAGAGAGAGAGGCAAAAGATGGAGGGGGAAAGAGAGAAGAGCGCAGCGCTCATGTATGAGTCAAAAGCCGGACACGGTCGAACGAGCTCGAAAAATTCCACGCCTACATTTCGTCGCTCACAGTCGTTCCAAGCACTGCGCAAACAAAGACCTCCGAAAGGGGGGGGTTGAACTCCGGGATGCGCGAAGCCTTACAGAAACAGACCGCAGAAAGGAAGAGCGCAAAAAGTTTTTTTCAGAAAAACAACGACTATTAATACCGCCTTACCGTCAGCGAGTAGCACTCGTCGCCGAAAAAGCGCCTTGGGAAAGCAACGTGAGTGTGCATATATACCACAAAAAATATTAAATCTCGCCGCACCTGGGAAGATGATGGTGTTGATGAAGTCGGTGGACCTGATGTACTCCTCGTAACGGTTCTCAGGGGTGGTGATGGCCTGCATGACCATCACGCCGCCGGGGGCCAGCAGGGCATCCGCGGATGCGAAGAACGTCCCCAGGTAGTTGTGTCCTACCGCTTCGATCTGCGTACCCCCCCCCGCGGTGAGCGTGCGCGGTTGATGCGGGCGGTTGGCAACGAACAAGTGCACGGTGACAGATTTGTTTGTTTCGCCGTGTGCACAGCCTATTTTTTGGCCATCGCAAAACACCAATTACCACACGAAGACGTGACTATCATTGCTCCTGCTTGGAGGTGTTCAGGTAACCCCCAAGACCTGGAACAGTTTCATGTTCTCAGAGTGGGCTGCGGATGAATGATGCTTGCCGGTGATCGGCCTTCGAGTCAGTTTCAACAGCTTCCAGTTTTAGATCTGCCAAAAAAAAACATCCATGGACTTGAAAGAAAACAACGGACGGCCGTCAAAACGAGGCTAACCCACTCGAAACGAAAGAGAGAGAGGCAGAAAAATACAAGGGAAGGTCGAAGTGTAGACTGTTGAGGCTGGGAACCGATTCAAACCAGTACGAAGAAACACGGGCGTTCGGTGCAGCCTTGTCCTCACCATCTCGCACGAGATGATGCGGTCGAACTCTCCCGGGTGCTGCTTGGCGAAGTCTCGGTAGTCCACCAGCTCGAAGGTGATGAGATCCTGCAGCCCGCGCGCCAACACCTGGCCAACAAAAACATCGACCCAAACACAAAAAAAAAAAACAGTGTACAGGCATAAATTGACTCTAATCGTGTAAGCCCAGTATCCAGCCGGTTTTCTCTTCCCCTTCACCCTGTCAAGACTCCCACCCATCCCCTTCGACTATCTGTGGTTCACATACGTATGCTATGCATATCTCGAACGTGTGGTGTGTCTTTCTTTGATCGTATGAATATTCTCAAGAAAAAGGATACAGGGAAGACGTTGCAACCCAAACCGCTGCCATAGAGCAACGTCCCGAACGAAGCGGCGAGATACCGCTAGGCGAGGCGGTACATACTCAAAATACGATCAAATCCCCTGCTGTGGCCTGTTTCTTCGCCTGCCGAGGACAAGACGTTACGACCCAACCCAAAACGCTGCCGAACGTACACGAGCAACGTCCCGAAACGGTACCGCAAAATAGCCTAACAAGACTCATAGATGAGCATCTGCTATGGCCTTTTCTTCGCCTGCCGAACCGAGCGAGAAACTCACTCGAGATCGATCCCGCGTTGGGGGCTACATAGGCCAACGCTCGCTCTCACAGTACCTTCTCCTCCGCCAACGCCATCTGCTCCTTGCTCAGAGTGATGCCATGCACGCGGCACCCGACAGTCTCGGCCGCCCTGCGCGCGCCCCGGAGCAAGTAGGCAGACAGGAGGAGCGACGGGGAATCGGGTCAGCATCGTCGGGGGGGGAGGGGACACCCGCCGCTGCCAGCGACACCAGTAGGACGAAATTGACCAAAGAAAGGCGGGGCAATGGCTGACCAACACGAGAGAGAGAGAGAGAGAGAGAGAGAGAGAGAGAGAGAGAGAGAGAGAGAGAG